GTGTAGTAAGAATAAAACCTTCAGTTTCAGCTTTTAACCCTACCCTACGTAACCACTGATGCGTGCGCGGTTTGCCTACATCAGCTTGTTTGGTACGGGCAGAGTATTGGCCATGAACAGATTTACCTTGACATCGTTTCTGCATTTGTGTTATAGTGGAACACACCTATTCTATAGTTAATAGACTCTCCCACCTATAATAAGTAGGAGTAGGAAGAGTAACGTGGGAGTCGCTCAGCGGTTCGGTCTGAGTTCAGTCTGAAGTCGGACGACCGGCTGACCGGTTGAACTCTCTGCCTTCGGGCGGGGAGAAACCCGAACGAGGCTACGCCGAAGGGCGGGGTCTCTTTCGGGGAGGTAAACCGACCCTGAACCCGTTTGTACGGGTTAAAAGGGCATATTTTTGGCCGAGCCTACGGGCTCGAAGATCCCACGTTAAACCTGCCTTGTGCCACATGATGCCCTCGTGGCGGGATGACTGAATAGCGCTCAGTCAGTCGATGCCGGACGACCGTTAGTAGGATACTAAAGTATCAGCGACCACAACTAGATTTCTCTGTGACATTACCTATTATATCAAGTTCCTAACGTTTTGTACGTCGAACCTATTTTAGGAACGACTTAGTACAAATACAAGCCTCCACTGTGAAACGACGCCACAACAATTTGGTACATTGCCTTTGCTCTTGCTTACTTTTTAGACCCTTTGTTGCTGCAATGGGTGTATTATGGGTTATTTGCACTTCTCCACCAACTTGAAATCCTCTTTTGAATTTATTGCCTTCGTTTATTACTGAAAAAAAGTCTTTTATTTCTTTCATGTTGTTTGACACAGATCATCGTCCACTGTTCTGTAGTTTCCAGGTAGCTTTAAAATCCGATTGTTATTATTATTATTTGATTTGATTTGATTTCTGGTGTATACCCATTTCTTTCCGGGTCCCACCCAGAGACCTAAGGTCAGAAATAGCGTCATGACATTTTCCAATGAGCAGTTTTTGAGGAAAAATTACCTAAGATCTCAAACATTTTACATAGATAAAACACTTCGGAAGGTGTGGACTGTACTTGTGAGTAAGATTTTTTTTATGTTTCTTTAAGTCTTGGGCTACCAGAAATCCCTTCAATGAGTCTATCGGACCCTTTTCCAATCAGTCTGAGGGCTCCAACTACAACTGGAATTGTTGATTTCCTCATGTGTTATATTTTTGAGATTTTCATTTCAAACTTCTTATACTTTTATAGTTTATTATTTTCTTTTTTATTTCCTTTGATTTCTGGTGTGTACACATTTTGTTCCGGGTCCCACCCAGAGACCTAAGGTCAGAAATGGCATCATGACATTTTCCAATAAGCAGTTTTTGAGGAAAACCAAAAAAACACCTTAAGATCGCACATATTTTATATGGATGAAAGCATTCTTAAGTTGTTGACTGTACTTGTGCGTACATTTTTTTTTGTATTTCTTTAAGTCATGGGCGACTAGGAATCCCTTCAATGAGTCTATTGGAATCTTTTCCAATCAATCAGTGGGCGCCAACTACAACTGAAGTTGTTGATGTCCTCGTGTACCACATTTTTGAGATTTCGATTCCAACGTCCATGTATTTTGATAGTTTTTTTTTTAGAACTCCAAAGATACATGCAGGGACTGCTTTGTCAATAAGAAGGCACATTTTGTTTTTCTGGTCTCTGATCACGGTGTCTGGGTGGTTAGCTTTGGTTATTCTGTCTGTGTGTATTGCAAAATTCCATAAAATTATTACAGGTCCTATCTCCAGGTCTCAGTGGTGTTCATACCAGTTTCTTGCAGTTTTCATTCCAATGCAGATATTGGCCCACTCTATCATGCCGGGTTTTATATTCAGTGGATGCCAATACCAGGCAACCTGTAACAATTGTTTCTGGGGGCAGCTACAGGTGGTGTAATGGTTAGCCAGCTTGTCTCGCTAGAACAATTACGACTGAGTAGTAAGTTCGATCCTCACTGGGTGCCCCCTACTTTCGGTCTTGTGCCACATCTAAGCTACGCTTGGAAAATCACTACTCCTTGGGCACCTCGAGGCGGTGTAATGGTTAGCAAGCTTGTCTCGCTAGAACAACAACGACTGAGTAGTGAGTTCGATCCTCACTGGGTGCCCCCCCTACCTTCGGCCTTGTGCCACATCTAAGCTACGCTTGGGAAATCGCTAATGCGCACCTCGAGGCGGTGTAATGGTTAGCAAGCTTGTCTCTCTAGAACAATTACGGCTGAGTAGTGAGTTCGATCCTCACTGGGTGCCCCCCTACTTTCGGTCTTGTGCCACATCTAAGCTACGCTTGGAAAATCACTGTAACAATTTTTTCTGAATAATTCTCACAGAATCTGTATTTTGGGCTAACGTCATTTTTCAGTATGTGTGCTTCGTAATTTTCTAATTAGCAAGCATTAGCAAGAATTAGCAAGCATTAGCAAGAATTAGCAAGAATTAATCCTGTGCAGCAAGAATAAAATTTCCGTTTCAAAACTTATTTTCAGATTTTTTGTGGAAAGTGCTATCTAGACATACCCGGTAATACATTTTAAGGTGTTAATTAAACTATCATTATTTTCTGTTTGATATGACTTTATTATATTTCTATATATTAATACATATCAATAAGCAATGAGGAAGATAAGGACACATGGCACATTAGATAAAGGCGTTGGTTAGATCCAGTAACAGGACCCAAAGAGTATGAGTTCAATACCCGGTTAAGGCGGTGGAGAACATGGAGAGGGGAATAAACAGGAGATAACTGATAACTGACATCCATTTTACATGGCACGTGGAACTAGAACAGTCTACCCCAGTGAGCGAAATAAAGGGTTCAGTTCGACATTCCAACCACCTGAAGAAGGCTGAAGCGTACAACGGCCGAAACGTTGTGATAAATTTGGCAAGACAGATGAGGGCAATAGTCCGAATAATTGGAATAGTGAGAAAGTTTTAAGTACAAGCTACATGAAAACTGATGTCTATGAAATGTCTCTCCTGCAGTTTCTATCGCGGTCATCAGTTTCCTTGCCCTAACATTATCACCAATGATCTTCCAATAACTCTCAATTGGATTGCACTCTAGACTGTTAATTCCCCTCTGAAAGTTCTCCACTGCCATAACCAGGTATTGAACTCACAACTCTTTGAGTCCTGTCACTGGATCTAACAAACGCCTTTATCCACTGTGCCATGTGTCCTTAAGGACTAACAGGAGATAACTGATAACTGACATCCATTAGACATGGCACGTGGAACTAGAACAGTCTACCCCAGCGAGCGAAATAAAGGGTTCAGTTCGACATTCCAACCACCTGAAGAAGGTCGGAGCGTACAACGGCCGAAACGTTGTAAAAAAATATGGCGACAAAGATGAAGACAATAGTCCGAATAAAATAGTGTACATAATACCTCATCTCAAAAATATAGACAGATCCTGAAGGTTCGAAACGTAGTAATAAATATGGCAACAAAGATGAAGACAATAGTCTGAATAATGTAAATAGTGTACATAATACCTCATCTCAGAAATATAGACAGATACTGAAGGGCCGAAACGTTGTGATAAATATGGCAACAAAGATGAAGACAATAGTCCGAATAATGTAAATAGTGTACATAATACCTCATCTCAGAAATATAGATAGATACTGAAGGGCCGAAACGTTGTAATAAATATGGTGACAAAGATGAGGACAATAGTCCGAATAATGTACATAATATCTCATCTCAGAAATATAGACAGATAGCTGAAAAAGATATTGTCTTTGATTAAGAACAAAGAGAGAAACAAATATTGCCGCCATATCAAATACCTTTTTTAAACAATTGTCATCAATACCTCTCTACTTTGTGCTTTATTATCTATTATGTTGAGTGTATATGCAATCGTTTTACTCATGGCTTCAATAAAATATTAGGTTACTTAGAATATTCTGCCAAATTTTTACGATTACCTGGTAGTTAAAAATATATAAAATCGTTCACGTTCTATTTGACAAGTCATTTTTACAATTACGTGCCCTTTATTTAAAAATACCAAACATTAAGCTATCGATAAATCTGACAATACGTCATAAAATCACCCACCTCTGTGTTAAAAAAAATAAAATCTTTTTCCAGTCAATTTAAATTCGGATTGAAATACATCAAAGTATTTTGCTTACTGAAAATATAAAATAGAATCTATTAGCATGGAATTTAAACTAAAATAAAAGCTTCAAGAAAGATTTTTCATTTTTAAAATGCATTTTAAAACTTAGGTATCGCTTCTTTTTTTGGTGGGGGGGCGAGGGGTACTACGACTAATACATTGAGTTAGTTGTTTCGTAAAATATCCCTTTTGTGTTAATATTCTATCAATAAAAACATTATTCCGTCTAAGGTAGTTATTTTGGAAGACGAAAAGTGTTGCATAGGTTTTTTCTTTCCGTTTCGTTATTCAATTATCCACTCTGTCTGTGTGTGTATGTATATATATATATATATATATATATATATATATATATATATATATATATATATATATATATATATATATATATATATATATATATATATATATATATATATGTGTGTGTGTGTGTGTGTGTGTGTGTGTGTGTGTGTGTGTGTGTGTGCGTGCGTGCGTGTGTGTGTGTGTACTGGGGACGTCTGCTTGCTTTTATGCTTTTGTTTATCTAATAAGAAAAGCAAGAAGTCGGTGAAAGAAAAAAAATCCTTAGGTTGACACACGTGATTTATGGCGAATCCTACTAACAGAGCGTTCAACACTTTTTCTTTTCTATTTTTTTTTTTTTTTTTTTTTTTTAAGCAGGAACTTAGCCGTATTAAATTTAGAACCTTAAGTAAATGTCGGACACACACGCAGAGGCAACAAAATAAAAAAATAAAAAATAAATAAAAGGTAAATACTGTGTAAGCATACACCCATTTTTAAGGGGTTTTCTTGTTGTTCTTCGTAAGACGAAACATCGCAAATCGATGAGTGTTGCAGAAGTTTGAAATATTGCTGTAATGAGAAGTGCGTAATAGAAAGGTCATCAGTTTTAATTGCTTTCTGCAAGACACCCGTCAAAGTATCAGGGTTCGTTACGTTCAACCGAAGTTATTATTCTTTGGGTTTATAAGCTGTCTTTTTTTTTTCTCTCTCCGTTTTTCTTTTTCTTTTTTATTTCCTCTCTTTATTTACTTTTTCTTTTTTTCTTATTCATTTTCTCTTTCATTTTCGCGTTTTTCTTTCTTTTTCTCTTTCTTTCTTTTGTATTTTCTGTCCTTGTCCTTTCTTTGTTTTTCGATCTCTTGTTCTTTTTTGCATTTCTTCCCTTTCTTTCTCTTCTTTTAACTTTTTCTTCTTTTTTTTTTTCCAGCGTTCGTTTTACTTGTCTTCTTTTGTTTCTTTGCACCATTGATTTCTAATCGTTTTCTTTCTTTCTTTTTCTGTATTCTTTTGTACTCTCATTTGTTTTTGTTTTTGTTTTTGCTATAACGTTCTTTATACCTTCTCTCTTTCTTTAGTCTTTCTTTTCATTCTTTCTTGTTCACTTTCTACTCTTTCTTTCTTTTACGTACTTTCTCTCTTTCTTTTTTGTATTTTCTTTTTTTTGCCTTTTCTTTATGTTTTTTTTCTTTTCTTCTTTTTTTTTACATTTCTTCATCTCCTTTTAACTATTTCTTTCTTTCTTTCTTTTTCTATCTTTTTTTACAGAATTCATTTTACTTATCTTTACTGGTATCTTTATACTATTGCTTTCCACTCCCTTTCTTTCTCTCTTTTTTGTTTAGTTCTTTCTTTTTCCAAATTCGTTTTTACTCTTTCTTTCATTTCTATGATATCTGTTTATACTTTCTTTCTTTCTTTTTTTTATATTGTCTTTCTTTACCTTTTCATCATTTATTGCCCACTTTCTACCCCTTTTTTTTTTCGTATTTTTCATTTTTTTTCTCTTTTTTCTTTAGTAGTTTCTTTTTTGTCTCTTCTTTCATTATATTTTTTAAATTTCTTCTTTTCTTTCTTTCCAGCATTCGTTTTTATTCTCATTTATCTTTCACAATCCCATTCGTTTTAACTCCTTTCTTTCTTTCTTTCTTTCTTTCTTTCTTTCTGTATTCGATTTTTTTTCTTTTTCTTTCTGACTTGATTTCTTTCCAGCATTCGTTTTTATTCTCATTTTTCTTTCTCGATCCAATTCGTTTTCATTCCCTTTCTTTCTTTCTTTCTTTCTTTTTTTCTTTCTTTCTTTCCATCATTCGTTCATACTACATTTTATTACTTTCTTTTTCCATTCTTTCATTTTTGTTTTTTCCTTGAAGCATTTAATCCTCCCCTCTTTTTCTTGATTTCACTTATTTTTGTCGTTTGTTTTTACTCATTTTCTTTTCTTTCTTTTTTTCTTTTTTGCTTCCTTTCTCTCTTGAGCCTCTTTTTCTCTTATTTCTTCTTTTTCTTGTATATCTTTATTTATCTATTTATTTTTTTTTTGTCTGTTTCTGCCTGACCTTGTTTGCATTTTCTCTTCCTTGCCTTCCTCATTCGTCACAGACTGTTAATTTGAGACTCATTACTCTACGCGATTTTCTCGGCAATTTCTCTACCTGGTGAATTCTCGCAGTTCATCCACCTCTCGACATTCACGAGAACTTTGCTTCGATACCTTAATAACTCAAGCAAACAAACAAAAAAAAGAAAAGTCCCTTTTACGAAAGACCGTTAACCTTTTTCATGCATTTTTTTCATCATTATTTTACGTTCATCTCTCACACATTTTTCTCTCTCTTTTCGACCCAGCTGTCTTTTTAATCTTACTTAATCCTATATCTTCTTTCTTTTTTAGTCTCTTCTTCTTCATACACTCCTCATCTACAGCTAAATCGGAATGAAGGGATCAGTTCACGCTAGATTCCCGAAGTTAAACCGCAATAAGCCTATTCACTCAGCATATAAATTGGTGACCACTTAGGATTATATATAAATATATATATATATATATGTGTGTGTGTGTGTGTGTGTACACTTACACACACACACACGTGTATATATATGTATATATATATATTTAAATATAAAAAACAAAAATAAAAATTTTTCCAAAAAAAAAATAAAACAAAATAATTTCCATGCCTGAAGATGACTGAATGTACAGTCGAAAGTACTTGCGTATTTAAGAAAGACCTTATACAGCTTATAATTTTCAAAAACAAGGATCATAACATTCATCGAGTCATTTGTAGGTTAATGCAACTTTAAAATTTTGTTTGCGAAAGGATTTCGCCATTTTATATCATTAACGATACTTTTCGTATTTTGCTTTGATAAAGTCCACATTGGACGAAACGCGTCAGCAATTACCAGTTTTCCTATTGGCATTTTTATTCAGAAATATTGTCTTCTCTACTGGTTAAATCGGCTAAATTTTCATATATATATATATATATATGTTCACCATAAAAGAAAACATCCTGTTATGTTTACATAGAAGATTGCTATGCGACGATAACGAAGTTAAAGTCACTATACGAAGCTTAGAACGGCTCATGATAAAAAATAGTAGACATTCGTTGTCAGTTATATTTAACAATATATGTTTGAATAATAATCTGCCCTTTATAATACACTATATATATATATATATATATATATATATATATATATATATATATATATATATATAATTCATGAATCATTCATACAATAAAACAAATATAGAGGTTAATGATTTAAATGGCGAATTGACATCTTCGCAAACAATATCAATATTCTCCTACATTTAAATTCATTAACTTCTATTTGTTTTATTGTATGAATGATTCATGAATTTATAAATTATAATTGCACCTATAATTGAAATTAGAATAACTGACCCAAAGTGCAACTTTCGGATATTAAGTGTGACATTCCTGTAATTATTGAACAATATAGTTCATGCCACATTGACGGAAAACCTACCAGTAAAAAAGAATTCTCTTATTACTATATTTGTACAAAAAAGCACAACCTTAAAATTTAAAATTTAAACTCAGCGTTGCGACCGCACGTTCCAAAACAATAACACATTTATCATAGTATTTTTTCGGATTACATCTCTATTTTCGTTGTCCTCTTATTACCGAGAAGTAAAAACAAGAACAACATCTATTTCCATACCTGATGATGTCTGTAGGAACAGACGAAAGCTTGTAAAAAATTAAAAAGACCTTATGCAACTGGAATTTATAAACAGGGATCATATCATTCATATACAGGTTCGGGGATAGTGTATCTTATTGATATAGTTTGCGAAGATGTATTCTCGCCATTTAAATCATTAACCTCTATATTTGTTTTATTGTACGAATGATTTATGAATATATATATATATATATATATATATATATATATATATATATATATATATATACAGGGAGAGAGAAAAAGAGAGAGATAAAGAAAGTGAGAGAGAAAGAGATAGATTATGTTTATATTTGTGTATATATACAGGTGTGTTCATATTATATATATATATATATATATATATATATATATATATATATATATGCATGTGTCTATGCATATAGTTATATAGATATTTAATTATATATATATATGTGTGTATGTGCGCGTATACAGTCGTATATATTTATATATTTGTATAGGTGTGTCTGTATGTAGGGTTGATATATATATATATATATATATATATATATATATATGTACATATGAGTATGTGTGTGCATTTGTGTATGTATGTAAGGCCATATATGTGTGGGACTGCATATATGTTTTATAATCTATATGCGTGTGTTTATGTGTGTGTATGTAGGGTTTTATATATGTGCGTGATTATATGTATATTTTAGCACACGTGCTTGTTTGTGTGTATTCGTGTGTGCGCGGACGCGCGTGCGTGTAAGGTGTACGTCAATTTTGACCTGGGTTGGCATTGACAAACGTCTTTTTTCCGGAATCTTCCTTATCATTGCTTAAATCATTCATGGCGACTTTGAGAAAGTGTCAGAACT